GGATCTTGGAGGATCCCTTGTCTAGAGTCACTACTATAAGTACTATGAACATCAAACGATTTTTCTATATTCACTTGGATTTTGAAGGCCATTGTAAAAACAGAGTTTCAGTAAAGCATGAATTAAGGCCCTAAAACATGAGTAACCTCAAGCTCGAAAATGAGTCGAAGTCGAGAAGAAACCTTGTTGCTCTCTCTTGCCATTGATACCTTATTTGGATACGATATTTGCCGTAGTGTGACGCTAAAGGCATTGTAAAATACCATCGTTTCGCCTATTCCTTCATAATGGGGCCCGCTCAATTTTTTGAGCGCTCAATTTTTTTAGCTTTTCCCCCTTGTGCGTGGGACTGAAGTACACAAGATAGCAAGAGCCAGTAGGGAGACACCTAAAATAGCAAAACCTAGAACACCAAGCTACAACGACAAGAACGTGAAATCGTTATGTCTGCCGTGTGGGTTTATTTTGAAGCGAAATATATTAAAGGGACCCTCCCACCTTCAAAAAAGTTAATGAATTGGCATGAAAGTGATGTTGCTTGGCTCAGAAAGAGCAAAAACGAATATCTACCAAATTTCATCGAAAAATATTCACCGGTTTTCAAGATATTAGACTTTTACTTTTGTTTACTTTTTGGGATCTTCGCTGTTCCTAGCGACTTTATTTGAAAGTGCGGCATTTGTTGCGCGCAAAGCAGCATATACCACCGCGTGCTACAAAACGTTTTAGTCAAAGATTTAAAAATCGTTAGATATCTGCGCTGACGTCACACATTCAGAGGGGTATTCCTATGCATTAGCCCCTCTGAATCAAAACGCTGCAATTTTGAAATTCAATATTTCCGATTTAAGGCATTTCTCGATGTTGTGAGTGCCGAAACCGGTAATTGTTAGCCAGGGACCCCATTTTGGCTATCTCAACTCAAATCTAATGTTAAGGTGGGAGGGTCCCTTTAATAAAATTACCAAAAACGACCTATATTTATAGCGAGTGTCACATGCGCGAATTGTGTAATACCACGCCGCTTACGTCGCAAATTAATAGATCAAGGACAAGATCAAGGATATCGTAAACTGAAGTCACTATTTCACTGCTATTATTGTATCACTCAGAAACAACGCAAAAAAGACGAATGACAACATTCGAAAATACAGTTTTGTTAGCACTTTTGAGTAGGTAAGTGACCTTAAATAGTCTTGGTGATCTCAAGGGATCTCAAGGTGATCTCTTCGCCTGTTGCAGCCATCCTATCGCAAAACCACCGAACTGATCGAGATGAAACGCCACCAGTGGATTTGCGATGCCAATATGCTAGGTGAACTCGGTGACCTCGAGGGGTCACTTCAACGTTTTTTTTCATGAAAACCAGCCTATAACTCAGCAATTACTGGGCCGATCGAAACAAAACCGTCACCAATCAGTTTTCCATGTGCCATCTCACCGGAAGTTTCAAATATCGGGTGACCTTAGGTGACCTCGAGGACTCATTAAACGTTTTCAGCTATCGCAACCATCCTGCAAATAAGCAAATAATGAACCGATCAAGACACAAGCATTACCATTCGATTCACTTTAGGTATTTATTATTACCACCCGCTTCGAATGTTGACCTCAGGTGACCTTCGGGTGACCTCGAGGGGCTAGCTACCGTTTAGGCTTATGAAAACCACTAGCATACCTATAGCTCAGCAACTGCAGTAGTAGCCCGATTGAAAAGAAGGTATAACACAAACTGATTTGCAGAATGCGATTTAATAAACCATTTCGAAAAGATATGGTTATTTCAGGTTATCTTGGAAACCTCGAGGGATCAGCTGTAACTTATATTTAATCATCCCTTTATAAAGTGGCCGTGGGCTTGATTCATATCACTAAACTTCATGCATAATGTACCTACGTAATGCCCGACGAGGACTACACTGAAATGACATATAGGATGAAAAGTAGGTACCTAAATGAAATCAGCTAAGATCAAGATCTTATCAAGGGCAGAAATAAAAGAAATAAAAGCAATATATCGCCAGCCAGACAGAGACGTTGGTAGTAGCGGCGGAACACCCTCAATTAAGAGGGGGGGGGGGGGGGGAGGGGCACTGCCGACTTTTGGTCCCATTCTTTCCATGCAACGCCCATAGGGCTAATGTTAAAATGCCAAAATCAAAGGGGGGTACGGTGCACCGTTGCCCTCCCCGTTCCGCCGCCTATGGACGTTGGCTGTTCCAAGCTAAGGCCGTTGTACATATAAAAGAGCCTTCTCTAACACGGCACGGCTAGAAAGCTCCTTATAAGTTACCTACCTATAGGTGGAACCGTTCCAGGGACAGTGTCTCGAATCGCACGTTCGCTCGACGTGACCTGGTGACCTGACCTTAAGTGACCTGGGGTTAAAGATTTGACACACGATGCGAAATTGACTATCATAGGCGATACCAAATTTCGCGGAGCTGCGCAACGCGGTCTTCTTTACATACGAAAAGAACGGTAGGTGTGGCCAACCCTATCCGGGCGAACGCTAACTACATTCACTTCATTAGCTCGAGACATGATGCGAAGGCGCTTACCCTTTTCTTGGCAAACCTAGAGTAGGTATTAGTTTAGTGTAACTTACACGTAATTTAGAATGTTCACGCTGTGCTAGCGAAAGTATTACTTCTTTTCGTAGGATGTTGAAAGACCGGAGCGCATCCCCCTCCCCCCCCCCCCCGCTCCCCTGGTTTAACTTTACCTCCGGCCTAGCTAGAGCACTTTCGAGCTGCGTGGCTGCGTCGTGTCTTACCAGGTCGTGCCAAGCTGCGTAGGCACGTGCTTGTTTGCCAAACTTTCAGTTTGCCAAACAAACTCCTGAAGATTAATTGGTATTGGCCGTGACCTTAACCCTCGCCCGTAAACGGCGATCTGCCACCTTCGCCCATGCAGGGGGGGGGGGTTGGTGCGACCCCCCCCCTTGGCGTTTGAAAACGGAGCGTCGTAGAGCTTAGCGGAAAAGACCAACGGATTGCTCTCGCCGAGATCTCGCGATTGGTGGTATATTTTTTGGTCCTAGGTCAACATTTGACCTACTTTTGACCGGTCAAAGGTCAAATTTTCGGAAAAATAGACTTTTTTCAACTTTCCGCGGCGATTGCGGCAAAACGGTGGGAGATATCGACTTGAAACCTTCACTATCGTGTTCCTTGATCAATTCTCTATCGTTTGGTATGTATTTCGTTTCCCTAGCTCTAAAAATGGCGCGTTGGGAGCGCCGGAAGTCGGCAAGGTCACAGTCGGCGGCAGAAATTCGAAAAATCAAAATTTAAATTTTTGAAATCTGATTGTATTTTTGGATTTGGAAGGTCCATTTGCTCCCTATAGAAGCTAATATTGCTGCATATTCCCATTGAGGTGACAAGAATTAGCAAAATAGTGGTTCGGGCGCTTTTCAAAAATAGTACCGGACGCTGTTCCTCTTGTGACGTCATAGCTCCGTGACCTGACCTGACCCGGTCAAGTTTCTTATACCATATGATAGCCAATACTTGCCCCAACATGCATGGGAAGTTTCATCACGATCCATCAACCGATGTCCGTACCACCGGCGGGAAACCTCGGGCGTTGGCACTCAGTTTGTGAAAATCCGGCCGGAGGCTGTTCCCTTTGTGACGTCATAACTCCGTGACCTGACATGACCCGGTCAATTTTTTTTATCAAAAGATGCGCAAGGTTTGCCCCATAAGGTACCCAAAATTTGGCGGCGCTGCGCGCCGCCGTTTTTGCACTATTTCCGAAAAACCTCAGGGGGGGGGGTTGCACCAACCCCCCCCCCCTACATGGGCGAGGGTTAACTTAATTATCTAACGTAAGCACGCATTGTATGGCACAGCGAACAAGCCATGGCGAAGCGATTAGCAAGCATAATATAAACGATGCTGGTCATTACGGCGGCCTTGCGCATGAAACGTGGTCGGTTGGCCGCGTTTCATTAAGGGACCCTCCCACCTTCAAAAAAGTTTATGAATTGGCATGAAAGTGATGTCGCTCGGTTCAGAAAGAGCGAAAACGAATATCTACCAAATTTCACCGAAAAATATTCACCGGTTTTCAAGATATTAGACTTTTACCTTTGTTTACTTTTTTGGGATCTCCGCTGTTTCTAGCGACTTTATTTTAGAAGTGCGGCGTTTGCGGCAGATGTTGCGCGCAAATATCATATACCACCGCGTGCTACAAAACGTTTTAGTCAAACATTTAAAAATCGTTAGATATTTGCGCTGACGTCACACATTCAGAGGGGTATTCCTAAGCATTAGCCCCTCTGAATCAAAATGCTGCAATTTTGAAATTCAATATTTCCGATTTAAGGCATTTCTCGATGTTGTGAGTGCCGAAACCGGTAATTGTGAGCCAGGGACCCCATTTTGGCTATCTCAACTCAAATCTAATGTTAAGGTGGGAGGGTCCCTTTAAATCAAGGCATGACTGCGAGACAAGATGGTTAGAGCAAAAAACGTCTCATTTGGAAAAAATAAGTAGCTGAAACTCTGCTTGAGGTTCATCATGACAATTATAAATGTAATAATAACCAATAACCTCATAATATAAATCCAAAATAGAAGCCAAAAAAGTTATATTTAAATTATCGAATATTTCACTCCCGGAGCTTCAGGAGCGCCAGGAGCGAAATATTCGATCAATTTAGATATAACTTTTTGGCTCCTATTTCGGATTTGTATTATGAGGTTACTGGTTATTTTTACATCTATAAAAAAATAAACTCCTCACAACACTGTCAGTTCATGATCAGCCAAAAGCTAATAGATTTCGTCCGATGTCATTGTCCATCTGAAGCTCGGCCGGGTCCATCACTCTCCCGAAATAGTGTTGTCTGTTTGCGGTCGGCGGGCGGTGCCGGCGAGTCGGACGGTGATTGCCTGCGCGCGGCTGACCTTATCGAAACCGACGCTGCGCCGGCCCGCCCAGCCTCCGGCCTCTGGTGGACGGGGCGCGTCCCTGCCTCCGGCCAGTACGCCGAGGGCTGCAAGGGCGGCAGGTGCGGCGATGCTGGATCCAGTACAGACGGCGGGTGTTGAGGCCAGGGTGGATCGACACTAGTTCGGAAGACGGTGTAGTGGTCAGAGTGGGCGGGATTTGGTACAGGTAACGAGTGTTGAGGTTAGAGTGGACCGGCCTTAGAATCGGAAGCAGGTGCAGTGACCGTGGTAAACTGATCCTGATAAGGGATCCAGGAGGAGTGGCCTGGGAGGCCCACTCACATCTTGCTATAAGTTTCTGAATACGGCGCAGGGTCGTTCGTCGTTTGACAGTACCCCTTGTTGCGTCGCGTCCGGTGCAGCGGGGCGTCTGGAGAGCAGCAGTGACTGCCGGTCAGCGCCCGCAGCGCTGTGAGACCGCCGGCCAGCGATGATGGACACCTACGAGACGGTGGTGTGCGTGCTGTCGCTGCTGAACGGCGTGGTGGCCGTCGTCGGAAACACGCTGTTCATCGTGACCTTCTGCCGGCGGCGCGAGCTGCTCAGCCCGATGCACGCCTACCTGGTCTCCATCAGCGCCGCCTCGCTGGTGGTCGGCATCATCGTCCTCACCGGCGTCAGCTACTTCAGCCGACCCTACCACCTGGGCTTCAGCTCGCCGCAGGCCTGCCTCTACCAGTGGGTCAAGTCCTGGATCATCACCGCGGCCTCGGTCAGCATCATCTACTGCCTGCTGGCGGTGGCAGTGGAGCGGTACCGAACGTGTGTGGGCGCGCCGGCGCGCGGCGCCTCTCTGACCAGCACCGTGCTGCTGATCGCGCTCATCTGGGCCGGAGCGCTCACCTACACGGGCGCCACCAAGTACATGACGTTCCAGAGCCTCGAGTCATTCGCCGTGGTGATCGATAATGGTGACAGCCTGAACGGCAGCGCCCCGGAGGTGGGCCCCGTGCAGCTGAAACTCTGCCACTACTGTCGCAGTTCTGCCGACCGCGTGTGGCGCGCGCACGTCGTCTACTTCTCGCTAGGATACGTGGTGCCACTGGCCGCCATGACCTTCCTATACGCCAGCGTGATCCGGCGCCTGCTCCGCAACCTGCGCCGTGATCGCAACAACAGCACCGAGCGCGCCAAACTGCGCGCCATTCAGGGCATGGTGGTGAACGTGTGCGTGTTCGCCGTCAGCTGGGTGCCGTTCTTCGCCGTGCAAATGCTGGCGCCGCTGCTCACGCCGAGAATGACCCCCGGGGGTGGTGCCGAGCTCCTTCCGCCGCGCACCCGGCTCGTACTGGACGCCTTCACGCTGTTCGGCACGGCTAACTCGTGGGTGCACGTGCTCGTCTATCTGCGCTACAGTTCACAGTTTTCCACGGCAGTCAGAGAAATGGCGGTGGAGGGCGCACAGACAGCGCGGAGACAGTCCGTGCGCGTGGTGCGCCGGTTCCACCGTCGCTCGCGGCAGTCTCGCTCGTCGTCGACGCGTCAGACTCGTCTGAGTGTCGAAACGTCGCACTCGGTGACGGCGGCGGCCGGCTGCCAGCTGTCCGTCATCAGCCAGCCGGGCCACGTCATCGAGTGCGCCGTCCAGGTGTGAATAAACCCGACAGCTCTCCGCTACAAGACGGTGGACATTTTATCATGATGAGTTACAGACGTTTATGAGTCATGTGACCAAGTGAGTGACTAACGGTCGCTGGGTACGGGGTCGGCATTTGTGCCGCTTCTGTCTGTCGGGACCTTGCTTATCTTCTCTGCTAAGTGTAAACACCACGGAGGAAAAGCGGCGAGGACAGACTTACTTCCATCAGCTGTGTGAGATTTCTGCCCGTGGCGATTGACTCGGGATGTTCTCCTGTTTCCAACGTGGCTAAGTAACTATGCAGAAGAAAAGCAGTGGGGAACAAGCAAATAGAGTAGCGAAATAGAAAATCCGCGGATGTAGGTATGAATAGCGTGTAATATAAATGCACGTCCATATGAATACTTCCGTGCGCTATAAACGTCTAGTTAAATGTGCGCTGCATCACGAACTCCCTTAGCGTCTGAGATGGAAGCCTGAGTCGGTGAGGTGTGGTGCGTTTAAATACTACACAACTATGTTGAAACAGTATTCGATCTCTGTGTCTTGGGAACCTCGCTAAGTTAGCCGTCCTAAATGGACGTATTGAGCCGCGATACTCGTGTATGGTATGTAAAAGATATTTATGTACAAAGAGGTGTACCTAATAAACCAGCATTCCGTATTTCTTTAAGACACATGCAAAAAAGTTCCCAAATAAGCATACAGATTATTCTGTTGAACATTGCAATTAGGCCCCTGCACCACTCTGCCCAGTCCCACCGACAACGCAATAGATCAACGCATTCGGAACAAAGGCATCGAGGCGACGGTGGTAGGTAAACGGTCCATGCTCCAATCTCCATGCTGGTCTACATTGCCTAAATCGCCCCAAACTGGCATAAACACGGTAAATTTCATAACTATATTGACCTTTGGCAGCACCATTTAAAAGTAATCTTAACTAGCGCTAAAGATGGTTCATGATTCTCCGTGGGGTGGGCTGTATACGAGCTTTGGGCTTTGCTTCATAGATGGCGCTAGTGGTGAACGCCTGAAAGCATACTGTGCCGCACGACTCGTTTCAAGAGCATCGGGCGGCGTGGGACGGCGCCGGTACGGAGGAGCGTCGGGGAAATCGCATGACTGTGTTTAAAAACGGATTACGAAGTCTTCAGTCTAGTTAAAAATGTGTTAACAATATTGCTTAAAGCTTACATACACGGGCAAATGAATTTGGTCACAGCCAGAATATCATTGCCGAAACCTCGGATATTGAACGAGCCCTTGCAAACCAGATACCGTGTCGACATATCCGATGCTGATTTAGATTCGTAAGAGATGAAATGAGCAAAGTCATCAAGCTTAAGATTTGCGCAAACTGATAAGGCTGAGTTTTTCCGGTATAAAATATTGTTTGATTATTTCCTCCGTGAAACGCCAATGCCATAAGACTGACGCAAGATCTGCTATTGCGGCGCAAGCGACCGTTCTCTTACCCGTGCGGCGTGCACTGCATTATGCATATGCATATGCCATGATTGTACTCGTATGCAGTGCGAATTGTGAATGTTTATGACTGCATCTCCGGCCATTGAGCGATATCATGCATCACACTGAATTACTTTTTCCTGAAATAGGGCATCAATCACGATATATTTAAATTTTTTGATATATGGAACACAGAATTACCGAAATTGCCACTCACACGATTACCACTTCTACGATTACCGAAAACATGTTGATGACGTTGAATTAATAGTTTTCTTGATTGGACTTTTTTAAGCTCCCCACTTTCCTTTCGCCACTAGCTTACCTCCCGCATCTCGCTTCTCTTCGACCCCCCCCCCTGATTTAATTGGAAGGCTTACATATGCGACGTACCTACTATGTTCGGCTTGTTTGAGCAGCCATAGGCTGTGCTATCCAGTGTCTATCCATTAGCTGCGGGCATCCGGTTGCATTTCATTGGCTCATTATTTCACCGTTTTCCATTGGCTTTGTTAGGTGCCAGCTAGGTATACTTTTCATTGGCTGGCCGGGCAAGCTTCTCCAAACGGATATAAAAGATAATTGTGATTTCGTCTATCATTTTGTTATGTGCCAGTTTACGGTATTATTTATTAAATATGATATAAATACAAAATACAACAAATGAATGACGGGAAACAAAAATGAATAATTAAAATTAATAGGAATACCTATTAAAATATTATGAGATGCCGAACACCGGAAAAACTGTTGGCGCATAATCGGGGAATAAAGCAATATTGACAGCTTAACAAGGTCATAGCTTATCGCTGGACATTTGGCGATAGCCTCTGCACACCGGATTATGTCGCATCGCATGACATTTAACATTATACGGTCATCGGAATTCGGAAAAGCTTAAAATATGCCACGATCACAATAAATGCTGTGATTAAGAAAACATATGCTCATTTTCTATTTGAAAATGCAAAAGCAATATCTCAAATCCCTTGGCGTTTACGGTAGATAAGTATTTAATATAGGTACCTATTAAGCGTCGTCGAAAGCACGCCCTGTTGTTCCTCCTTCTTTGGGCCTGTGCCACCAGCCCGGTCGACCCAGGTGGCCTGGGGGAGCGCCCCGTGATGGGTCTGTTTACGGTCATCAGGCTGGCCGAGCTATCTGCACGCGTGTCGCCGCCATGTGCCGGCGTGGCACGCGTGGGGCCGGCCGGCCGGCCGCGGCCAATATCGCCGCTGGCCGCGCTGACACGTGTTGACATGGGGCCGGCACACTCATTACGGCCGGCCAGGACAGGCGGCCGCAATCGGGCGGCGGACGTCAGCACACCACGCCTCTAACGTCAGCACACCACGCCTCTGACCAGCCCTAGGGGACGTGAGCACACCACGTCTTTAATCCGGGAAGTCAGCGACTCAGCACACCACGGCTCTTATGTCAGCACAGCACGCCTCTAACTAACCCCAGGAACGTCAACACACCACGCCCCAAACTAGCCCCGCAACGTCAGCACACCACGCCTCTAACGTCAGCACACCACGCCTCTAACGTCAGCACACCACGCCTCTAACGTCAGCACACCACGCCTCTGACCAGTGACCAGCCGCGGACCACGCCTCTAACGTCGGCACACCATACCTCTAACGTCAGCACACCATGCCTCTGGCTCTAACCAGCCCCGGACCACGCCTCTAACGTCAGCACACCACGCCTCTAACTAACCCTAGGGACGTCAGCAAACTACGCCCCAAACTAGCCCCGCAACGTCAGCACACTACGCCTCTAGCTCCGGGACAACAGCACACCACGCCTGTAACTGTGTCGTGCATCACGTATCGTGCCGGCGTTCAAAGTGTGTTTCCGAGGTCAGTTTCACTCAGCTTTTCTGGTTCTCACGAGGATGTTTGGTCTAGCCGTTCTAGAACTTCAAGCATCACAAATTTCGTGACGCCACCATCCATGGCTGAAACCCACAAGCTTACTTATGCACTGATGTAGAATGCGTTTCATGAATCATGTAAATGGTGAGGTAAAACGGCGTAGGTATAAACACAATTTAAGCGCAACGCGGCAACAGGCACGCTCGTCTACGATATAAATAAATCGTAGACGGGCGATTTATTTATCAGGCGATTTATTTATAGGTTTTATTTATATTTATAGGGTTTATTATTAACGATTTATTTATTAGCGATTTATTTATCGCCCTATTCATTTATACGGCAATTTATTTTCAGAAAATAGTCATGAGCGCTAACACATGTGTGTAAGCACAATAGACTTGTGGATGTCATCCATGTCATTGGTGTGATTAGGCGCCAATGCCTACTGCTTTGAGGGTAGCTGGCTTGCCTGTCTCGGAGATAAATAAAGGAGTCATAAGTTACTCATGTGCGCAAGGCTAATACTCGTATCTACCGCACGGCATCAGTGTGCCGATCGGACCCATGTAGGCATGCTTGTATATAATGCTGGTATTAGCTATACCTACCGAATGCGCCGCTAAAATCGCCGACTTGTTATAGGCATGTGATAATGTGCAGAGTTATATCGTTAGCTTTGATAGACAGTGGGATATTTTTAGACTGACTATTTTCTCATCGTCCCACTTACGAGCCTCCCTGAAATGTCATCTGAAGCGTTGCGAAGCGATGTCATCTCCAATGCGACGTAAAATTACATTTACGCAATATACTGGAACGGCGGATTAATCACGCTCGGTCGGGAAGGCCGCCGCGGCCGGGATGCGGCGTTTGCAGTTCTGCCGAATTGTGCTGCCGTTATCTCCGGCTGAGCCTGTCCAGACGGTGGGCGGATGACGTCACCACGCTGTGCAGATAAACACTACTGGCCGGACGGACTGCCCGGTGCCCGGTCAGTGCTGAGCAGGAGACGCTGTCGGTGGGGCAGGACTATGAGGCACCGCCGGGTCTGGATCGCCGTGGCGCTGACGCTGGGTCACGCCAGCGCGGCATTCGAGTTTGTGGCGACCGCTGAAGACTGCAGAGCGGCCGGCATGCGGTGCGTTGCTCTATCGCAGTGTCCCGCGTACAGAAACAAATCGGCAGGCCGAAGAAGTCGGCCAACAGTCTGCGGCTTCCAGCAGAGTGAACCGCTAGTGTGCTGTCCAGTCCCTGAAGTGACGAGACGGAGACCCCAGCCTCCAAACATCACCGAGCCAGAGGTGCGACCGGAGGGGCGGAACTCCGAGTCTTCGGAACCGGAGCCTGTCACCCCGCCGACGAACCAGAGACACTTCAGGCGTCCGACTGGACCAGCCCAGAGACCAGCCAAGCCGGAGCCCAGCGCCGCTAGCCTGCACGGCACGGCAGCGCCCGTCACCCCACCGACGGTTCCGCCCGCCGCGGTGCCCTCGTGCGGCCGGCCGGGGGTGCCGTCCGTGGCTGGCTCGGAGTCCGGCGCCGGCGGCTCGCTGGTGTTCGGTGCAGAGAGGCCTTTCGCCGTGCGCGTGCCGCCGGTGGATCTGCACATTCTGGGCGGCAGCGCGGTGCAGCTGGTGGAACCGTTGGAGGGCGGCCCGGCCGGCCATCGCTGGCCGTGGATGGTGCTGTTCGGCCGCTGGACGGGCGACGGGCTGGGAAGCTGGTTCTGCGGCGGCACACTCATCACCGACCGGCACGTGCTCACGGCCGCCCACTGTTTTCGGAGGGAGACACCCGGGACTGTCGGCGTGCGCATCGGCGACCACGACCTGGGCTCTTCGGATGAGGTGGACCACCAGGAGCGGAACATTTCCAGCGTGGTGATGCACCCGGAGTTTCGCGGCCAGCAGAACGACCTGGCCGTGGTGCGTCTGTCGGAGCCGGTGGCGCGGACCGTGTCCGTGCAGCCCATCTGTCTGCCGGCCGCCGGCGCCGAGCATGTGGGCGCGGACGTCGAGGCCGCCGGCTGGGGGATGCTCGAGTTCGGCGGCGATATTTCCGATATTCTGCAGGAGGTGCCGCTGCGCGTGTGGCCGCCGGAGGACTGCGAGGCAGCACTGCGCGCCAGCCGGGCGTTCGGGGCGCGGTTCCCGGACGGCCTGTTGCCGTCACACCTCTGCGCCGGCAGCCGGGATGATGAGCGACGAGACGCGTGCGCCGGCGACTCGGGCGGCCCGCTGATGGCGCGCGACGCGAGCGGCGCGTTCGAGCTGGTGGGCGTCATATCGACCGGCATCGGGTGTGGCACAGAGTTCCCCGGACTCTACACCAAGGTGTCCGCCTTCACCGAGTGGATAGCGCAGCAGCTCAGCTAGCACTGTGTGTGTGTGCGCGCGCGCGTGTGTGTGGCGCACTGAACGTTAGTTTGGTGTGTTCAGCATCAATGTCAATACTCGTATACATTCACAGGAGGTCATTAGGTTCACACTGCATTGCACTTTCGAGAGCAGCTATGAGTCATTCGTCCACCGAGTTTCATCGTCATATTCATGTTTATACCCACTGATACCCATATAATGCATTTATATAATGCATATATGCATTTATATAATGCATGCAATGATATAATGCATTTATAGCTAACCTATACTTCATATTTCATGCCAACTGCCCTCGCTCGTACATGTTCGCTCGAGCAGCGCCTGTTGCTCAATTTGAAGAATTGCACAATACGTAATACATATATCATAAAACATGATATTTGAATTATTTCCACCGGGATTATTGAGTCACTCGTCAGCAAAATGTTCACGCTATCAGAAGACGCTGCTCCGCTTTCACTTTCCTTCTTCAAGTTGTTTTATTTGACCAGGGCCAATCCGACAGTCGACACAGCTCAGAGCGATTACGATGTCTGGAAAATTTCTTAGCAGTGGGGCGTCATTGTTGTGGGCAGCCCACATTGATCGACGAGTGGCAACACTGTCTACCGCAAACCACACTGCCAGCACACCGCGTGGCGGCACCGTCTTACCGAACTGAAAAGCGCTGTCACTAAAACGGCAGCACCGTCTCACCGAAACAACAGCACCGCCTCATTAACAGAAATACCTACTGTCTCATCACGTCTCACTAAAACAGAAATACCGTCTCACCTGGTTTCACCTATGTAACGCCATCTCACTAAAACAGCAATAATACCGTCTCGCTAAAACGGTGGCGCCGTCTCGCTAAAGAACCGGAGGCACCGTCTCACAAAAACAACAGCGCCGTATCATCTATGTAGTAGCGCCGCCTCACTAACGTAGCGCCATCTCAATATGAAATGGGAGCACCATCTTACTCACTGTCTCACTTATGTAGCACCGTCTCACTAAAACGGAAACACCGTCTCACTAAAGAGATAGAGCCGTCTCACTCAAGCGACAGCACCGTCCCACTAAAACGGAAGCACCGTCTCACTAAAACGGCAGCTGCACTCCTCTGACTAATAACGACAGTACCGTCCAAATAAAAAAGCAGCACCGTCTCAAAGCACAGTCTCACCAAAACGGCGTACCACCGTTTTACTAACTAAACGGCGACCCAGTCTCCATAAAACAATTACTCCGCCTCGGCAGCAGGCACACTAAAACAATTACACCGTCTCACTAAAACAATTACACCGCCTCACTAATAAAACAATTACACCGTCTCACTAAAGCAGAAGCATTGCGTCTCCCTAAAGCGGCAGCAGCGTCTCACTAAAACGCACTGACGGATCCAAGGGGCGCCCCGCAGCGCCCGAAATCCACCAAAATTTACGTTTTTTTTTTCGAGAATTTAACGAAAGCTACACAACGTTTCTGAGGAAAACTTTGCTTTTAACTGCACAGTAGAGCGCAACGAATCGAAATCCGATGACTTTTTTTGGAATTTAGAGAAACCCTTTTTTGGAGGCATATGCCCACGCAGCGCAACCAAGATCGCCTTTCTGGATTCGCCAGTGCTCAACCGACAATACCCGCTCACTACGATGACGGCAAAGTCTCAATAGGTCTATGTCTCAATGAAACAATTATACATTCTCGCTAAAACGGCAGCAAAGTCTTACTACAACGAGAACACCGTTTCACTAAAACGGGAGCACGTCTGACTAAAATCGTAGCTCTTACTAAAACTCGTCTCAATAAAACAATTACACCGTCTCACTGCAACGGCAGCTCTGTTTCACTTTGACGGTAGCTCCATTTCACCAAAACAATTAGGTACACCGTCACCGTCTCATCAAAACGACAGCAACGTCTCATTATCACGGAAGCACTGCATCTCGGGGAGGACCGTCTCATTAAAGCAATTAATTGTTTTACACCGTCTCACTAAAACGGAGCACCGTACCACCTGAAGAAAATACAACGTCTCACTAAAACGGCAGCACCGTCTCATAAAACGAAAACACCGTCTCGCTAAAACGGAAGCACCGTCTCACTAAAACGGTAGCACTGTCTCATTTATAAATAAAACAATTAGGTACAGGGGCTGCGGAGTCGGAGTCGGAGTCGGAGTCGGAGTCGGTCGGAGTCGACAGTTGTGACCGGAGTCGGAGTCGGAGTTGGAGTCGATTTTAGAAACCCGAGCCGGAGTCGGAGTCGGAGTCACCAAAAATCTGTCGACTCCGCAGCCCTGCTAGGTCTGCGGAGTCGGAGTCGGGAGTTGGAGTCGGTCGGAGTCGACAATTCTGCCCGTAGTCGGAGTCGGAGTCGGAGCTGGTTTTTGAAAGCCAGAGTCGGAGTCGGAGTCGGAGTCGCCGAAAATCCATCGACTCCGCAGCCCTGGACAGTACTCCGTCTCACTAAAACGGGACAACACCACCTCACTGACACAATACGTTACCTAATAGTCACTACAAAACGCATAGATACTTCTAAGCCACTCTATCGAATTGGTGGAGCCACGGGAGTCGGGAAACATTTGGGCAGTGATCGGTCATCCCCCTCGGCCACGCCCACGGCCCTTCCCCAAGGTTCCCACGAGCAGGGCTGCGGAGTCGATGGATTTACGGCGACTCCGACTCCGACTCCGACTCCGGCTTTCAAAAACCAACTCCGACTCCGACTCCGACTCCGGGCAGAAATATTGACTCCGATCGACTCCAACTCCCGACTCCGACTCTGCACACCTGGCAGGGCTGCGGAGTCGACAGATTTTCGGTGACTCCGACTCCGACTCCGGCTGGGGTTTCCAATATCGACTCCGACTCCGACTCCGACTCCGGTCAAAACTGTCGACTCCGACCGACTCCGACTCCGACTCCGCAGCCCTGCCCACGAGACCGCATTTTATATGGAGGCTATGGAAGCGCAAGCAAAGAGAAGAACTTCTGACATTCAACAAACAATTTCGGCGATTTACCCGGATTTACCCAAGATTTACCCCTCCCCAGAGGCGGATCCAGCTCAGAGTTTTTTTTTGGGGGGGGGGGGGGGTGGGGGGCAAACCATAACAATTTATCGATTCTTTCCATGCATCGACCATAGGCGTAATGTTAAAATTATGCCGTTTGGGGGGGGGGGGCAAATGCCCATTTTGCCCCCCCCCCCCTGGATCCGCCACTGCCCCTCCCCCTCCCGTCCCCGGCGGCCGACTGGAGGCTGAATGCAGTCTGCACTGGCTGGACGTTCAGAATCAATAAAAAGAGCTCATCTGTATGATATGAGATGTTCCGGAATTGTTTGCTTTGATGCTGGCTGATAGCTCTTTTTTAATATATTCTTTAGGCGGCGCGCATCTGCTACTGAGCTAACCGCACTCTCTTTCGCCCCTTTCTGACAGTTTTTGGACTCTATAACCATCACTATCCCCATGTGGAGTTGATGTGGAGTCGAGTACAAAATACGCCGACAAATCAGTCTCTATCTTCGATTCAGAGGGTGGGTTGCGGACCGGGATGCTGGCATGTTGGAATGTTGAAGAAAACATACGAGGTTTTCTTGCAGAATGTGATATATCCCCTCGGATTCGTGCTGTGTGAAAATCAAGTGCATAGGTGTTGAGTTAAATGGATAATTAGGCGTCGAGGATGAACTGTGACACCAAGTTTCGACGCCACTATTGCCGCAGCCGATGGACCGCTTCAGACACCAGCCAGCGTATATGAATAATGAAGAAATAAAATAGAATAAGTGATTTTTAAGTTTCTTAACAGTGAACATTTTGTCTAGCGACATTCGAACTGGTGCTATTTATTTGAGATTCTAGTGAATTAGACAAAATGTCGTACATGATGTCGATGTGTGATGTGATGCCTACCATTTCGGAGGACAATGTTAGTCAGCGCAACTCCTCCTTTGGGGGAGAAGACCCCAATTTTGAGGAATTAATGGTCTCAATGCTAGGGGAGCGCCAAAAGTTAATGGAGAGCAACAGAGATATCCAGGAACGGCTTCATGAAACAGAGACTCGGTTACATGAAGTCGAAGAAGAACGAAACAACTTGCAGAAACAAATAGATGCAAACCTGCCTCAGGTGAGTTCCTTGTTAATGTAATTCCAATAATTTTTTAGATGTGACCAACACTTAATATTTAGCCCAATTATTTTTACTTCTTGGGTGAATGCTGCTGATATAAGGTCTTACCAGTGTATCATATGGACATGTTTTTCGCACTGGTGGATCTCCTACAAGTTAGCATATCCGACCAAAGCCATTCTAATCCAACACCTACCAAATAACTTTTGTGACATCTCCCAAACACCATATACCTACCTTGACCTCTGGTGCAAGGTTGCAGAACCAGAAGTCTTTCTAAGGAAAAGTTGGCACACTTTGTAGGAAACTTGTAAGCAGTTAGAACTAGATATGGTATTCTCTTAGCACACGTCACCCGAGCTGCCATATCCAGTTAGGTAGGTTGGTAGGTTAGGTTGTAGGTTGTAGGTTGGTAGGTTAGGTTGTAGGTTGTAGGTAAGGTTAGGTCAGGTTAGATTATGTTTTGTTATATATTTAACCGTGAAAAGACAATTGTTGCGCACGTGAGACGTAGATATGGCAGCTCGGGTGACGTCTGCTAAGAGAGTACCCTAGATATAACCTACACACATTCCTACATAATAATTAAATCCATTAAAATGAACCTAAAACACTTATAAAACCAACATTTTGTATGCCGAGCTGTAGTTTCAAATTCATTTATGTAGCACCATTCCTCATGTCACATAAATAAAGTTGGCTTCCTATGGAGAGTAAAGTGCCAACATATGAATACCACTTCAACATGAGTTTTTGTATCAAAGGGCCTGAACATTTCAGTGCACTAACATTTAGTACCCTATTCAGATGGGTTTTCATAGTGTGATGTGTGTGTTCCATATAAGAGTGAGTTTTTATTATTGATTAGTAGCCTTAAATTTATCTTGGCCCTGATATCCCTCTACCCAATATATTAAAGCTGACTTGCAAGAATGTTCTTGAGATTGGGAAGGCTGCCTTGGAAGGGACAATAGAAGCATTGAATTTAGGCTTCATTGGCTGCATGCCTCTGCATTTTATTAGATAAATGCATTTAAATTGCCAGGATTGATGAAGCCAAAACCTGGTCAGGCATGACACATTGTAGTTTCTACATGAGTGGGCAGTTTGATTTTCCATTACATTTTCTCTTGAGAGACAAAATTCTTAACTTTGGTCCCAGTTCCTAAATTCTAGCTCCCATTGCAGCCGGGACCTACTCAGCTATGATAGCCTGCACGATTCGCCCAGATGTTCAATTTGATGTC